AAGTCATGTCTGAGAGGCAGGAATTTGTGTGTGTGTGTGTGTGTGTGTGTGTGTGTGTATGTGTGTACATATATGATGTGTATGAATAATTAACTGTAATGAGCTGTTTATAACCTAACCCCCTATTTCAAGGACAAGTTGATCAATAAGATTTATTTTTAAACTACACTAAACAGAATTTTTGATGTTTGGATGTTTGCTTATAAAGTGAACACGGCTAATAATCTGGGGGCGGGGGGTTACTACAAAATCCTTATCCTAAAATTACATAATTAGCTTTAAACTAGTTGCCAGGCTCTCAACAACACTAAGAATCAGAACTACACCATATAGAGGGCAAAATAATAGTAACAGTAATAATAAAGCAATAAATAAGGCTTTTACTTCTTTTCGGCCAAAGCGTTGAAGCTATATCGCAGGCCTATAAAACATACAGGAGTAATTTTCCCTAAGACAAGAAAAGTTGATTCGGTAAAGCCCGGTGAGTGTATGGGCTTCAGGCAGATGTCTCTGACCCAGCAAGGTCCTCTGAGTATTATATAGACCCTTGGGGTCCCGGGACATCAGCTAGGTGCTCTCCGGAGTGCCCGTTGCCCTGAACTCACTGCCAGTGCTTGGAGAAGTGATGGCGGCCCCTCCCAGGGGGGCTCTGCATCTTCAGGGCTCTAGCGAACTGAAGCAGGCGGTGTTTCTCGTCCTGGTGGCTGGAGCGGTACCCACCAGGAGTCCTAGGGTACAACCTGCAGCCGAGACCCGCTCGAGCAGGGCAGAGGCGCGCGGCGGCCGCCTGCAGGGGCGCGAACTTTTACACCTACTTTTTGTTTCACTTCGGGTTTGGTGTGGCTTGTGGCACCGCCCAGGATTGGGTCCCCAGACACTGATTTTCCACTGCCTGGGGAAGTTGCCTCCCTTGCCCCGTAGCCTCCACCAGCTGTTCCGAGAAGTTCATCCCTGGTTACCTAGAGCTGTTTCCAGGATAGTAGGCCGTCGGTCGCGACAATAGCAATGACAACAACAATAATAGGCGCCTACGTGAGGGTGATGTTTCCGTTATGCTCCAGAATTTAAAATAATAATAATAATAATAATAATAATAATAATAATAATAATAAGCAGCGGTGATCGCAAAGAGCGGGAGTTGAAATTAAAAGAAGCTCCAGAGCGCGGAGGCTGAACCGAGCCTAAAGCCTGCAGCTGCCCTGCGCTCCCGCTAGCCGTGCGTCTGTCTGTGTCTGTCTAGTTGTCCCTTGGACTGCTCAGGCAAAGTTTGACAAATCCCGTGGACTAGGAGTGGATTGCCGGAGCCTACCCCTCCCTGCCCGCACCGTGCGCCCCTCTCCTGGGAACCGATCTCACCAACTCACGGCCCCGCGCGCAAACTTACGTTTGATCTGCCGGGGTTTGCTCTGCTTTCGCCGGGACATCTCAGCTGCTGCTGCTACCTCTCTGGCTCCCGCGGGATCCCGGGTCCCGACTGCCGCTCGATTGGCTCGGGCAGCCGCTGTGGCCGCCGCCGCTGGCCAGGCTCGGGCCACCGCCCGCCGGACTCCAGGTGCTCCAGACGCGCGGGATCCCCGCGCTGGGCTCCTCCGGGAGCCGCGGATCCACGTTTGGAGAGGAGCAAGTGAATGAGAAGAGGAGCGAGGAGGGCAGAGAGAGTGTGACAGGGAGGAGGGGAGGGGGCGATGGGGAGAGCGATGGGGCTCGGAGGGGGAGGGGGAAGGATGGGAATCTAGGAGCTATCGGCCCGGCAGAGAGGAAAGGGGAAGGGGTGCGGCGGGGGGAGAAAAGAAGGAAGAGAAGGAGGGAGGGGAAGCCGAGCGCGCAGGGGACCTGGGCTGCTAGGGCGGAGGGCTCAGAGGAGGCGCGCGCTCGCTTCCCCAGTCCCCGGCTGCGGGGCAAATACTCCGGCGCCTCCGCCGCTGCTCCGGGCCGCGCCGCGCTCGCTCTGCCGCGGGAGGTGGCGAGGCGCGCGAGGGAGGGGCGCGCCGGGACTGTGGGGAGGGGAGCCTAAGCCATCAGCGAAAGGAGGATTGGCTGCATCCAAAGCCAGTCCGGATGCAAACTCGGGGCCCCGGCCTCGGTCGCGTGGAGTGCAAGCGGATCGTGCAGTGGGTGGGAGTTGAGGGGGTTGAAGGGAGGAGAGACGTGAGGTTTGGATGGGGGCCACCTTCTGCAGTTGTCACCGCGTCAATGCTGGGAAGCTGCCAGGCCACCCCTCCCCCCCCTTCGAGCAACTTCTTCCAACAGCCTCCTCCAACGGAACCCCTAACTCTCCTCCCTAATGCCTCTCCCATCTAGCAGGGCACAAAGAAATCTCAGTCTCTCTTCATAAACTTTGTGCTTCCAGTTCTGCCTCCCCTCGCCGAGTCCCCGCCCTCCGCCCTTCCAGTTTCTTGGCAGGAAGGTTAGGCCACTGGCAAAGTCCCTGGCGAAAGCCAGCTGATCACAAATGCCAACTGTGTATCTTGGGGCCCGTTAAGTCCTCTCATCTGTCCAGGCTCTCAGGAGACCATTTCGTTGCTGTCAGGGTACCCTGGAGACCGCTGCGGATGCGGACCATCCCCCTCTTGGCCCACGGATGGGGTGCTGAGCTGGGTGCTGGAAATGGTCTCCTGGATCATCAGAGTTTCCTTTTGAAATAGTGAAGTCCTGGAATCCGGAGCCAGGCAGATAGTTTCTGATTTGCAAAAGGAGGAGGGTTAACTGGTGATTAAGAGTAGGTGGGAAGGGAACCATCATCTCTAATACACACTAACTTTTTAAGAAGTCTGTGGAAGTTCTGCAGTCCCACCCTGTCCCATGACCTTCCATTCTCTTAGTTCTGCTACAGGGAAGCACCGAGCGGCTAATAAAAGATTTGCTTTTGCCATAATTTTCCAAGCAGGTAAGACCCAACCGGGTTGGGTTCTTCTTTCATGGTTCTTCGGTCTCTGAAATTTTGTTGCTTTCTTATGCATTTGCTCTATGTGTGCAATTTGGGACATGCCAAAGGCAAAAGAGAAGAAATTTTGAAATGATTTGTATAGTTATTATTTTGGCAAGGTGATACTGTGTGAGGTTAGCTTAGTTTCTTACAGTCTCATATACACAGAATATTAAAGTCTTCCAGGTGGGTTGGAAGGGACTTCTACCAAAGGGGCTGTGTGAATCCTGCTGCTTTATGTACTTAGTATTTACTAATAAACTCAAATGCAGTTAACAGTAATTCCCTAGATGCTGCTGATGTTTCCCTAGGAGGTTGTGAAGTTGTCCACTCTGACCTGAAATTGTGTCCCTCTTTGTTTGGTTGACTAGCATCTGTGTTAGCCCCACCAAAGGATACTCTAAAAGGGTCTGGGGGTCAGCACAAAGCCTGGACTGAGCATAATGCAGGGTGATCCGTGTGCGAGAGGCACTCTACTTAGTGGCATTTATTACCCATGAGGACATCTTCTGGAAGGTGTAACGAGTTACCTCATGAAAAGTATGGCTGAGCAAATCTTAATACAAAGGTGAAGACCAATTGTGAATTTTATTGCATTACCATTAGCACTATTACCACATGAGGTTATAAAAATACTATACATGGTCCTTTGCAGTGGAAAATGCAGTATATGACCAAGTCTCTGCCCTGAAGATCTAACAAATTAAAGTCCTAAGTACCATGAAAAGCAGGCTTATTTGTGCTTGTGTAATGGGATGAATAAGCAAACAGAGACCACAGCTTTTTACCTCCTTCATTTTGAATTCACTACACTTAAATTGTCATGCTGAGACTCTTAGAATCGGATATATTGTACATTATGGTTTTCAAAGATCCTGTACAGAATTGGCTGACTTATGTCACCCCAAAGGAATGCCCACTGGAATTAAAATAACATAGCAGTTAGTGTTTCTTTTGGCATCTGAAATGGTTAAATATGCAAAGCAAGAGAGAAACAAATAAATCTGAACTAAATATCCAGTTTAAAAGCTGAAGGGAACAAAAGTCAAAAAATTTAAGGGAAGATTGGCAAAATAAGCAGAATACATTATTAGAAATACTACATTAGTTTATCTAAATTTCTAAATATACTCATTCTAGTCAGTATGAATGAAACAAACTAAGTAGTAGTACATATATTTTCTCATCAGTTTAAAATGAGAATATTAATATTTAAGGTTCAGTTTTTCTTTTCTCTAGTTTAACTCACTATGGTTATAAAATAAAAGATAGCAAAAGGCTATAAGCAATTATCTCTGTCCAAATGGCTCTAGCAGCTCCAAACCACAGCTACATGGCTATCAAACAATGATTATGAAAACCACAACTGAGAAGAGCATCAGGAAACGATATTGTAAAACCACAGCAACAAACATGCCTGTGATATTGAAAACCACAATTCACAATTGATACTCCATGTGTCGCAAATTATTATTTAACTATAAATGTGCAAATGTATAAGTAACCACATAAAATAATTTCTCATTTACTTAAAGTGAATTATTAATTTTCCTGACTCACCAATTATTTAATTTAGCCTATGCATTGGTTCGTTTAGAAAAGTTTCTACTTCTCATAAGAAATCCTTTTAAACCCCTTAAAAATGATAGTTAATTTAAAAGCAGAGAACATGCAACTCTTTGTTTTGTTTTGTTTTGTTTGCAACTCTTTTTAAAAATATTGTATTTACTATCTTTATTTTATGTGTATGAGTATATTGCCTGCATGTAGATAAATGCACCCGTGTAGTGCAATGCCTGCAGAGGATAGAAGAAACTGTTGGATCCCCTGGAACTGTAGTTACTGACAGTTGTTAGCTGCCATGTGGGTGCTGGGATTCGAACCTGGGTCTTCTGCAAGAACAGTCAGTGTTCTTAACCACTGAGCCATCTCTCCAGGCCAGAACATGCAACTCTTAATAATATCCTCTCAAATGTTTAAAGAATTGGTCTTCAATAAATCTGATCTAAACACCTATCTTAAAGTTATTCAAAGCTAAAAAGGTAAGCTAAGTGAAGCTGATTATGAGAGAAACATCTGAAAGTATTTTGTTTCAATGAGAAAAGATTGCATATATTCTTAATTAGTTGGTTTTAGCTAGAAAGCATATGTCGGATGACAAAATGAAATGTCATTATCAAAACTACTGTGCAAAATCCAGTGTTTATTTATAGATGAGTAAGATGCTGTTATTTGCAAGTTTATATGGTTTCCATAGTTTTAATATTCATATGCAAGGTGTTGAGTTTAACATGAATTTCAAATGATACAAGAATAATTCTTTAGGATAAGTATGTCCCATGCACTATTTGGTACATACTTACCCTAAACAATAATTGCAAAATATCTGAAATTCAAATTTAACTGGGTATCTTGCATTTAACTGGAAAACCTGTAAGTGTTGCATTTTAGACTTTCCACATATATGTGGTTACTTATACTATTATTTATAGAAAAGGTATAGAACCCCTAAAGTGCTTCCTGTAATCAAAAACATTAAATTCTTGAATGTTGTATTATTTAGGCAAGGCAAAGTAGAAGGAATAAATTTCTCTGCAAAAATTCCTTTTTTTGACCCAGTACAGAAATGCACTCTCAGTGTAAATGAATTGCATTCATGTATGTCTTACTCTGGGATTTGTTTTTAAAATGTGCTTTTTCCTCCAAGGGATCAACAAATTGATAAGGCAACCTCCCAGGCCACATCCTATTAGACAGCAAGCTGCCTTCTTTATTATAAAAGTAAGTAATACCCAAAAGCTTCAGAGAGACCTAATTTCTGCCTTGTATTCTCATCAGAAAGTGAACATGGTTTATCTGCTTTGATTTAAGATTGGGACACTGAATTGAACAGGAATATGGTACAAAAATAGTGTTTAGTATTCGTGAAATTTTTATAATTTCAGCAGTTTAAAAATAAAGATCAACAAATTCACCTAAATAGCATTCCTATTTTATAGCCATGAAAATAATTATCTGCTTTCTTACAAAGGAGCTAAGGGCTTTGAAAACATTCAGCCTATATCAAGGAGTTTAACTTGAAACTTCATGTGGCCTGCCAATCCCTAAAAGATTGTATGCACAAATACTTTTTAAGTAAGTCTACTTAATTTATCAGATTTTCAAAAATATGTTTAAAATATCTGTGAATCAATATGGTTATGAAACAGTATACTCTATATTTTCAAATGCTTACAAAATAAAGAAAGCTAAAATGAGTATGGTTTAAGATTTTACTCTTTGTACCCACCCTTCACATTCAAGTCAGTATTAGGATAAAACAGAATTGTAAGGTGACTACTTAAACAAAATTAAAATCAAAGCGTTTTTTTCCCCTAAGATTCTGTTAATGCAAAATATAAAGCAAATATTAAAGGAGTAACCCGCAAGTATTTGATATATCTGTTAGTTTTAACTACTTACATCTTTTTCTTTTAAGAAAGCTATGCTATCTTAAAGAATTCATCCTCTTCCTCACTCTTAAGTCATGTGATACAAGTATCCCATTTCCCAGTCCCTAAACAATCAAAATATTCCATGCTACTGTCTCGCTATTCCACGTTGTTCCTAGGATAGTCTGCCCTTGCAGTTTCTTCTGAAAACTACTGAGAAAGAGAAGGTTGCTTTGCTTTTATAGTTGCTGCACTGGGAAAAATGAAAATGTGCAATTACTAGTGGCCATCTCTAAGGAAAGAATCCAATGTCAACACCTCACTTCTCAGTTTTACCTTGTCTCAAATTCTAAACCAAAACATGTCAACATTTCATGACTTGTTTTATGTTCTTCAGTATTTGTCTGTGTGTACATTAATGTCTTAATCTTAGTCACTTCTATTATACTTTATTTGCATCTGCTTGACCAGGCTAACCTCCACATATCTTTGTTATCTTAGTGTTTTTTGTTCTCCATAACAAGGCATCCCTAACTCCCAAGTCTCAGTGAGACACCTCTTCTCAGGCATTTCCTTAAGAAATTTTGTCTACCATAGTATTATTGATTTCCTTTCATTACATTGGGAATTCAGTTATATGTAAATCAATCCCTCAACAAAACCTTCCTCATCTCAACCCACTCAATTATTTAGTAAACTTTGTGATTTTAAGGATGACCCCAGTGCTGGAAATATAGGATGCTCTAGCAAAATTAGTGAAATAAACAGTAAGTTAAGAGTAATCCTATCTCATATGGGTCTCTTAACCATTCCCAAGACTCATCCGCAGAATCATGGATACAGAAAATGGCAGCTATGTTTGTATAAGATGATCATGCTCTTTCATGGACCCAAAGAAGTATATGACTCAAATCTCACAAGTCAAAATTTTCTTCAGGTATCTGCAGTTAATATTAAGTTACAGTTCTTATGTGGGTTGGCTTCTCCATTGAATAAGTAAAGCCTCTTTGTGGCATGGATATTACCATGTGAAAGGAGTGACCAACTTAGGTGACTGTAACCATTTTTGTTGGCATGAATCTATAGGCTCTTATGTTTGAAAGTTCACTACACAACCAGTTGTGCAACACTAGGAGTTGTGGAACATTTAGGATGTGGGGATTAGCTGGAGAAAGTAGATAACTGATGTGGATGGGTCTTATGAGTGATAGCCTGCTCCAGGTCCATGGATCTTTTTCTACAGCCTGACTGCTGATGTTATTTAACCAGCCATCTCCTGTTCCAGCCACAATGCCTTACTCGCCATAATGGACTATATCTTCTGAACTGTAAGCCAGAATACATCCTTCCTCCTTTAGGTTGTTTCTGACAGGTATTCTGACACATGGATGAGCAAAGGAAACTACTACAGGGATAGGAGAGAGAAAAATAAGCAAAATGAATGTTTCCAGATCAGTTGAAATGAGAACGTAAGACAATGTTCAATCTTCTGATCCAGGCCTACCATGATCAGCAGCACTTCTGACAGTGAACACACTGAGATACTCATGTATACTTAGAAAAAAAATCTTTCCCACCTTTGTTTTTTTAAAAATATTTTTGGCTTAAATTTTTATTAGTTGATTACTGTCACATTCAACCCAAAAGTCTAAATTTAACAAAATTTCACCATTCAGAACTCTCATCTGCTTGACTAAAGATTTAAATTCAGAGGCATCAGGCTATTTAAGTTCTCCACTTTCAGAAAAATTATATAAACTTCCTAAAATAATAGTTTTCTTTTTTCTCTAAGCAACCCTAAGAGGGCAAACAAACCTTATGAACTTTAAGTGGGTAAACCTACAGGTTCCATATAAATCAGAGTTCTATCTATTACTGATTTTGGACATTATCTTCACTCTGGAGTAACTAAAGGGGAAAAGTTCATATTTTCAAAGTCAGTGCCTCAAGGGCATGATGATAATTGACATGCAAATCCACAACCTTCTTAACTATATAGATTCTGGGCCCAGATGTTTGGTTTTACCTTCAACTTTGCTTTTCCAAATTTGAATTAACATCTAACAGATTACCTTGCACATAAATTTTATATATGCTGTTATAATTCACTTGAATAATGCTTATACTTTTGTGGTGAATTTTACTTTCTAGCCTATAAAACTTTGGCCATAAATTACTGAATGGAAAACAAAAACATTAAACAGAGGTTGAGAACACTTGTTATATGTATAGATGAAATCAAATTACCTTTCTGGTTATCTACTTGCCAAAAATATATCTAAATCATCTATTGGGGGTGGATTTCAGGAGAACTAAAGTTTTTGTATGTTTAGTAACCATGGATTCATATAAAATTGCAATGTGGTCTAATTATGCTTATTTTTCCCCTTAAATATTAAGGAATTTTTCTAGTATTCTATGCACTATTACTGTTTTGTACCCTTGACTAATATGATACATTCAAATATGTCAGCACATTCAGAGATACCAGATAACCTACCTGTCCTATTTACTTTCTGTTGCTGTGATAAAACCATGATCAAAAGCTACTTGGGAGAGAAAAGGGTTTATTTAGCTTACAGTTCACAGTACAAATCAAGAGAAATGAGGGTGAGAACCTGGAAGCAGGAACTGAAACAGAGACCATGAAGGAACTCTGCTTGCTGGGTGCTCTGCCTGAATTGCTCAGCTATTCCTTTTATACACTCCAGACCCACATATCCAGGAATGGCACCACCTAGAGTGGACTGGACCAGCTTACATCACTTGACAACTGAGAGGTCCTCTCTTCCCAGATGACTGTAGTTGTGTCAAGTTGACAAAAGCTAACCAACACAGTAACAATCTAGGGTTTCTTTCATATCACAAAGGAGTCCTTGTATTCCTCATCTTTCCTGTTTGACTGTGAATTAATATTTATGACTAAATATTTCATTCTATTTTCATCTCGAAAGTTTCCTTGATTTGATTCTGTAGTGGATTCCAAATTTCTTGAATTACTCTGTATTCCTCAATCATGATTTACTGCTTACTGTTCCTTCCTTCCTCTCTCTGTCTCTGTCTCTGTCTCTCTCTCTGTCTCTCTCTCTGTGTCTCTGCCTCTGTCTCTGTCTCTGCCTCTCTCTCTCTCTATATATATAGATATATAGATATATCTCCCCCTCCCTTCCTCTTTCATTCATTCTTTTCTTATTGGACCAAATTTCTGTATGTATGAAGTAAAATTGGAAAGATTTGGTAAGGCTGCAGTTGTCTTTACTCTGTCTTCATTAATTTGATGCTTCAGGGATAGCGTCAACTCTGTGGTGGATTATTTTCTCTCAGTGTTCAAGCAACACTTCAATGACTTTTGGTTTACAGTGTTCTGCAGAATTTGATGCCATTGTTGCTCCTTAAAAAGCAATACCTCTGGCTTCTCTCCCCAGGAAGCTTTCAAGGCTCTATCCTTACTCTTATGAAATTTCACTAAGTATTGCTTTCTTCCTTCATTCACTGAGGTGGAAACATATTGAGTCATTTCAGTCTAGAAAGTTGTGACTTGTCCCTAGTTCCCCAAAATTTTCTTGCATATTTTTTCTTTTATTTTTTTGATTAATTATAAAGTTAAAAATGTATAAAAAATTAAAAGTTATTAAAATGATGATATTATCCCATTCAGCATACTCAACAAACCAGGGCCCAGTCATACCAGTTTCCATTGCACTATTGGTCTATGGAATCATAAACAAAGCCCAACACTCACTATCACTGCCAAACAGGGACAACACATATTGGACTCTGATTGGATATAGAAATCATTTTTGCTACTGCAGTACATAGAAATTTGAATGCAAAACCCACCATTTAAAAAAGGCGAAACTGTGCTCCTTTTCTTTTAAAATTACCCTTTCTTGTTCTTAATTCTAAATATTATATCCACACATTCATTTGTTTACATATGTACATCTATACATTATAGACTAGACCCACATATGAGGAAAACATGCAGATTATTACTTTCTGAGATTGGGTGACATCAATTAATATTATATATTCTAGACTCATTCATTTTGCTGTAAACTTTTCATTTAACTTTTCTTTAGAGATGAAAAATACATGTACCAGATTATCAGTCTGCATTCATTTGTGATGGATGAGTACTTTGGTTTCTTTTCCTTGTTATATGCACTCTCATCAACAATGAATAAGGGTTCCTCTTTCTCCAAATACTCTCCAACATTTGTTGCCAGCCTTCTTAATAATAGCCATTTTAATTGGGGTAAGATGGGATCATAAAGTAATTTTAAATTTCATTTCCCTGATGACTATGGATGTCAAACACTTCTTAAAACAATGTTGGCAATTTGTATTTCTTTTTCTGAAAATTGTCTATTAATTTTTTGACTCTTTTGTTGATTGGTAACTTGATTTCCTCTGTAATAATTTTTTACAGTTCTTTATATATTCTGAATTATATCTAGAAAAATATCCAGAAGGTTTTTATTTTCCTTTACAATACCTATTATTACCTTTAGTCTCCTTGGGTAGACCCTTTTGTTTTTCTTTACTGTTCTTTTGGAATTCCTTTGGCAGTTTTCATTATTTTCAGGAAAATTTCTTTAGCTCAGTCTTCTAAACCTTTGCTTGATTATGCTTTATGTGAACTCACCTTAATTTCTTGAGAGACCCTTTATTTTCAGTTCTTTCATTTCCTTCTGGTGAATAACTTCAGGTTTCTTTTTGAATGTTTGTTTATTTACATGGGCATTTTCTATTTCCATAGAACTTCCTGTTTTTCATAAAAGATTTGGGACTTATTTGTCCTGTTAGTCTTTTTCTGTTTTAATACATCTTTGATCATCTTTGAATAGTTTGCTTCTAACATGAAGGTGCTAAAACCTATTAGAAATTTATATGTATGATGACAGCGAAGATTGGAAATCAAGGCTCACTATAAATCATTGTACCATCCTGTTCCCAGTCATAGCTGCATCCATCCAACCTTCAGGAATTCCTGCAGTCTCCAAAATCTAGGCATTTTCAGTACCATGTCAGTGAAAATTTGCTTGTGTTGGATGTGTTCCTGCTAAGAATTAACTTTCAGCTTTCTCTAATCTACTAGGTCGGTTCTATTCTTTGAGATTACAAAGTTTTATTGACTGATCTTCTAATTCTCAGTTCTTTCCCATTCTCTCTCTCCTTCTCTCTATCACTATTCCTTCTCTCTCCATCTCCCTTTCCTTGTCCTGAACTCAAATTACCACTTTAAAAAGGCACATTTTCATTATCTATTAGTCAACTGAAAAAGACATTTAGGTTTCCATTTTTTAGCTATTGTAAAAATAACAACATCAAACATGGATGTACAGGCATCTCTACAGCATGATGAGTCCTTTGGGTGTATGCCAAGGAGTCATATAGCAAGATCATATGGTAGATTCATTTTTAGTTTTTATTTTATTTATTTATTTGCCTTCCATAGTGGCTGCACAATTCTTATTCCCACCAGCAGTGATTCCTCATTCCCTTTTCTCCACATCCTCACCACCATTGGGGGCCTTTTGTTCTCTTGATCTTACCTAGTCTGACTGGGGTTAAATGGGAACTTAAAGTGGTTTTGATCTGCATTTCTCTAATTACTAAGGATGTTGAGCACTTTTTAAGGTTCATTTTTTCATCTGAGACCTCTCTGTTAAAGCACTTAGCCCATCTTTTTATTGAGTCAGTTATTTCTTATTTCTTTGTTCTTGTTGTTGTTATTATTGTTTGTATATTCTGGATATTAATCCTCTGTTGGAAGTATAGCAGGTAAAGATACTCTCCCCCTCAATGAGTTTCCCCTTCACTTCCTTGGCTACTTCTTTTGCTGCACAGAAACACTGTAGCTTAATGAGGTCCCCTTTGTTGATTGTTGCCCTTAATGCCTGAGCAAAGGATGTCTTATTTGGAAAGTCCTTTCTTAAACCTATACCTAATACCTAGGGTACTGCCTATGTTTTCTTCTAGAAGTTTCAGTTTTTCAGGTTTTAAATTGAGGTCTTTGATCCATCTGGAGTTGACTTTTGTGCAGAGTGAGAGATAAGGGTCCAATTTCATTCTTTTACAGGAGGAGATCCAGTTTTGCCAGCACCAGTTGTTGAAGATGCTGTCTTTCTTCCATTGTGTGTTCTTGGCACTTTTGCCAAATATCAGGTAGCTGAAATTGCATGTACTCATGTTTGGGTGTTCTATTGTGTTCCATTGATGTGTGTGTCTGTTTTTGTGCCAAAGCCATGCTGTTTTTATGACAGTGGGTAATGAAAATGTGGTACATTTACACAATGGATTTCTAATAAGCTGTAAGAAAAGATTAAATTTGCATGTAGAAACAAGAAACTGTATACTATGTGAAGTAACACAGACTTGGGAAAAGCAAGAGACATATGTTCTCCCTTATTTGTAGATCATAGAACCAATCACTTATATGTGACTATATACCGTGTTATATCAGCAGGAGACGGGATAAGTGCAAAGAAAGCACAGAGTTAAAGGTAAAGAAAGAACCTGAAAGAGGGGGATAGTAGGAAAAAGGTGTTACCAAGGGGGAATGGGGAAAATGGGAGCATTCTACTGGAAAGAGAGGAGGAAAGGACATACAAGGAACCATGGGGATAAGGGGATGAAGGAACTCAAGGGCGGGTGTAATAGGAGACAGGTATTATCAAAGGGAAAGTGGGGACACAAATTAGAAAGGGAGGAGGGAGTTTAGACAGGGAGAGAGAGGAGAGAGAAATAAAGCCTAGGTAGCATAAAAAGTCAGAGGGAATCGTATTAACTCTAAGACATACAGAAAAATACACAGACAGTAGCTCAACATAAGTGCATGTGTATAACTGAAGGCTACATGCAAAGGCACACAGTGCTAGAGAGGAGAAACTACCCTTTGAGTTGTTGGTCAGGGTAATCCAAAAGATTCCAAAAATAACACAGGCTATTGTCATAGATGCTGATTACCCCCAAAACTTGAAGGTAAGTCCCTACTGCTGAAGACAGGATGTACTTTGGACACAGGACTTGATGCAAGGGAACTAGAACCGACCTGGAATCCTTTTCCCTGAAGACTGGCTCTCATAGTTCTAGAGGATACTATGCAGGCTGCTAAGGAAAAAAATCAATCAAAAGTCTCACCCAGCTGTAAAGCACAATAATCACAATGGCTGGCACAGAAAACTATCTCTATGGGTACAGCAGTGGCACTTTTATCTAGGGGGTAATCAATAGCTACCTAATTAGACTTAAGGATCTCTCAATGGGAGGGAACTCATGGGTGGTACTGTAAGTATACCCAAACACACATGGCTGGAGGGATCACAGATCCTAGAGAGAATCCTATCTCTATTATATCTCTAGACAAATGAAATTTCTTACTGTATGTTTAATATGGATCCTTGTATTTTCAGACAGGTATACAGTATACCACTCATCAAAGAAGCTTTTTTTTTTGCAACAAATGGGGGCTAGTACAGAGTTCTACATATCTGAGAGGTATCCAGCCCTCAGTGTCACATCTACATTGGAATCTTTACACCTAAGATTCATGGAACATAGCAGAATATGGTATAGAGAGAATACTAAAACATCCCTCAACTCTCACCAGCAAAGCTTCCTCATACAACAGAGTGTGATGCACACAGAAAGTCACAAAAGGCTAAGTTTTAGAGAAAAAGAGATTGCAGAGTGCATAGCCCTGGATAGTACTCCTATATTAACCCTCACCCTCCCATAGCTTAGGGACCATTGCAGAAGAGGGGACAAAAAGATTGTAAAAACCAGGGCTGGTGCATGAACAAAAGGAAACAGAGGCTTGCAGGCCTCTGGGAACTTGCTCATGAACCTTTAACAATGGTGACAGCAAGCACACGACAAATGTTGACTCATCAGACAAAAACCCAGCATAGAACGAGGGAAATGGGCAGCAGGCCCCAACCCTAGCCTAGGAATTATTGGCAATCAATTACTGCTGAGTGAGGGAGAGTAGATATTCTTTAAGGCATAGACTTTAGGTAGACTGACTAGACTCCAGTGGATGAACATGCACCGAAGGACATCTAGGTACAAATGCTTGACTGGAAAAGACAACATATATTACAGAATTTGAAATCAGGTGGGGAGGTATGGGGGTGTGAATGGGGGAGCTGGTATAAATTCAATTAAGAACTATTATATGAAATGCACAAAACTTAATCAAAATACAAAAAATTTAAAAATAAAAATAAAAGAATAAATAAAAAGGCCTATTAATGTCATGGCAAAATATCAAGTAGTGAAGGCAAGTTCATGAGGTTAATTATCCGGTCATTCCAAACAGAAGTCTTCAATACACACACTTACTTCTCTTTTTTAATGGATCTTATTATATGTGTTTATTTTTATCAAAGTAATATGTTCTTATGCTATAAAATATAACATAAAAGGGAGTGCCATGGTTTGGATGTGTTTGGAATGTGTCCCCCTAAAGGTACATGTTAGAAGCATGGTTGTTAATGTGGTATTATTAAAGTAGTAGAACTTGAGGTTGGAGAGGTAGCTCAGTGGTTAAGACACTGATTGCCCTTACAGAGGACCCAGGTTCAAATTCCAGGACCCACACGGTGGCTAAAAAACATGCATAATTTCAATTCCAGGGGATCTGATGCCCTATTCTGACCTCTGCAGGCATTGCATGACATGGGTGCACTTAATCTTTTTTTTTTTTTTTTTGAGAATTTCATACTTGAGTATTGTAGCTGAATTATGTCCAACCCTCCCAGGCCTCTCCAACTCCTCTTATGTGCACCACATTCTTCATTTTCTTACCCTCTTCTTTGAATATATATTATATAT